TTTTTCTTCAGTTCTTTCAGCTTGAGAAATGCTGAGCATGTTCTTCCATTTTGGTTTTCTAACTCCAGGTCTTTGCACATTTCATCGTAATACTTTACTTTGTTTTCTTGAGCTGCCCTTTGAAACCTTCTGTTCAGCTCTTGTACTTCATCATTTCTTCCATTTGCTTTAATTACTGTATGTTTAAGAGCAAGTTTCAGAGTCTCTTCTGACATCTGTTTTGGTCTTTTCTTTCTTTTCTGTCTTTTTAATGACCTTTTGCTTTCTTCATGTATTATGTCCTTGATGTCATTCCACCACTTGTCTGGTCTTCACTCATTAGTGTTCAGTGCATCAAATCTATTCTTGAGATGGCCTGTAAATTCAGGTGGGATATACCTGAGGTCATATTTTGGCTCTTGTGGACTTGTTGTAATTTTCTTCAGCTTCAACTTGAACTTGCATATGAGCAATTGGTGGTCTGTTCTGCAGTCAGCCCCTGGCCTTGTTCTGACTGATGATGTTGATCTTCTCCATAGTCTCTTTCCACAGATGTAGTCGATTTAATTCCTGTGTATTTCATCTCGTGAGGTCCATGTGTATAGTCACTTTTTATGTTGTTGAAAAAAGTATTTGCAATGAAGAAGTTGTTAGTCTTGCAGAATTTTATCATGCAGTCTCCGGTGTCGTTTCTGTCCCCATATTTTCCAACAACTGATCCTTCTTCGTTTCCAACTTTTGCATTCTAATCACCAGTAATTATCAATGCCTCTTGATTGCATGTTTGATCAATTTCAGACTGCAGAAGGTGGTAAAAATCAGTTTCTTCATCTTTGGCCTTTGTGGTTGGTGTGTAAATTTGAATAAATGGTCATATTAACAGGTCTTCTTTGTAGGCATATAGATATTATCCTATCACTGACAGCGTTGTCCTTCAGGATGGATCTTGAAATGTTCTTTTTGACAATGAATGTGACACCATTCCTCTTCAATTTGTCATACTTTGCTAGAATAGTAGACTGTATGATTGTCTGATTCAAAATGGCGAGTCCAAGTCCATTTCAGCTCACTAATGGCCTAGGCTTCGATCTTTATGCAGTCCATTGCATTTTTGACTACTTACAGTTTTCCTAGATTCATACTTCGTTCGTTCCACATCCTGATTGTTAATGGGTATTTGCAACCGTTTCTTCTCATTTTGAGTCATGTCACATCAGCAAATGAAGGTCCCAAAAGCTAGACTCAATCCATGTCATTATGGTTAACTCTACTTTGTGGAGGCAGGTCTTCCCCAGTTGTAGTTTGAATGCCTTCCAACCTGAGGGGCTCATCTTCTGGCATTATATCAGTGTTCTGCTGCTGTTCATAAGGTTTTCACTGGCTAATTATTTCAGAAGTGGAAGGCATAAAGATCAAGAGTGTGTTCCAGTGAAACTTTATTTAAAAAGACAGGTGGCAGGCCAGATGTGGGCTGTCGGCTGTAGTCGATAGTCCACATTTTGGATTTGTCTGATGATTTGCAAAGGAGCCCTGGTGTCACAGTGGTTACGCACTAGGCTGCCAACCAAGTGGTCGATGGTTCAAACCCACCATCCACTCCGTGGGAGAAAGATGTGACAGTTTGCTTCCGTAAAGATTACAACCTTGGAAATCCTATGGGGCGATTCTGCTCTGTCCTGTAGGTTGCTGTGTGTCAAAATCAGCTCATTAACGATGGATTTGGCTTTTTGGTTTGGTTTTGCTTGTGATTAGATAAAGGTTAAATAGTCTTGGCATGAATAATGACTAAGATAGATTTTGTCCTTATTGCTTCATATTTCAGGAAGCAAAAAACGTCAGGTGGTTTGCCTGACCAATTTTTATTCATCAGCTTAGGTATTTTTTTCCAAGATATTTTCCATTAATCTCATCTTGTCTCTTCTGTGCTCTCATATTACCATATTTTATTGAACCTATTCTATGTCCTCTTTGCCCAGTCACCACCATTATATGCTGACCTCCTTAGGATCTGGATAGAGTTTTGCCTCTTTCAATTCTTTTCTGTATCCCTAGTATCTAGCAGAAAATAAGCACTTTGTATAGTGTTTAATGAACTGAACTAAGTGCCACACACTGTAATGACTGCTGGGTGGTTAGTCCTTTTTCTAGACTATGTTAATGTCTAAAATAAAGTATGGCAAATTGACACACATTTCCAAGAACTTTTCCATTTCCAGCATTATTTTTCTGACCGTTTTGTTGTTGCATGTTGTCGATTCCAACTTACAGCAACAGAATGGAACTGCCCCATAGAGCTTCCTAGCCTGAAATCTTTATGGGAAAAGATTGCCAGGTCTTTTCTCCCATGGAGCCATTGGGTGGGTTTGAACCTCTGAACTTTTGGTCAGCAGCCCAGTGCTTAACCATTGCACAACCAGGACTCTTTTTTCTGAACATACCCATTGCCATCAAGTCAATCCCGACTCATAGCGACCCTATAGGACAGAGTTAGAACTGCTCCATAGGGTTTCCAAGGAGCGCCTGGTGGATTCAAAGTGCCAACCTTTTG